GCGCTTTAAAAAAGCGCTGCTAAAGGGTGGTCTACAAAAGCGCTTTCATAAGCGCTGCTACAGGGGGAGAGGGGGAGGGAGAATAGGCAGCGCTTTGAAAGCGCTGCTAAAGGGGTAAAAAAGCGCTGCTAAAAGTGATGCCTTTAGCAGTGCTTTTTCCACAAAAAAAAGCGCTGCCTTTACCTTTAGCAGCGCCACTTTAGGCAGCGCTTTAAAGCGCTGCTAAAGGTCAAAAAAAGCGCTGCTAAAGGCCATTTTTGGCATAGTGTTGTGACATCAGACTCGACATCTGGTGTCTGATTACCAGAATTTCACAGGTTGAGGGTCTGAGCAGAAAAATCTTATACTTGAGTGTATAAGTAGTTGTAATCTAATTGATTATAGTAGAAATTTCTTGAGTTGCAGGGGGGTTGGACTACTCTTAGTTGGAGAGGAACCATGATAACTTTTGAGTGTTCTCTGCCCATTTATTTACTTCTGTCTTTCTATCCACTGCATTTATTAACTAGAGTTTGAACTTTTGTTTATATTCTGAACTCTGATCAGAAGTAAAAAAGATTTGGCAAACACAATTCAACCTCATTTCTTGTGTATTTTCTCACCTTCATTCTCACCCCTGTTTGTTTGTTTGTTTTATTCTTTACGCTTGTGGCGCAAATACTCAGGTAGTTATGGCTTAGCTGTTTGGTGTTTTGGAAGATGGTGTAGCGACCTTCTCATTTTATTCAAGTTTGAAACCGACTATACATAATAAAGTTAACATAGACAAGATCAAAGAAAATAACAAACAATAAAAATATAATTGGTATATTTATCCTATCAATCCATTTTTTGTCAGGGTATATTTTGCTAAACACCCAAACAGGAACCGGCAATAAAGCTCCAATCAAGAATAACCATACCAGGTTTCGGTACAATCCACCGGGTCCAAATAGTCGTCTTGGTCCGATCAAACCCCATATGACCGACGCATCAAATGTCACTCGGTACTTCAGGCAAGTCCAAGGACTGTCACGGTGAGCATTATAATCCAAGCAAATGTCCTTAATGTTATCCAACATCCACCATGCCACTGAAACGTTCACCACTCCAGCAACTAGAGTTCCCACTAACTATTCAGACATTTCAAAATTAAAAAAAAAAATACATGAATAGTGATTGATAAGAAAAAAAAAAGCTTAAACTAGGAGATTTTGAGATGAAAAAGACCTGTGTTGTATACATGCATCGAGGAGGAATTTTCATGTAGTGCCCGAGTTTGATATCCGACAAGAAAGAAAGCGCATGGGCTGTGGTGATTCTCCCATAAATCTTAAAGATTAAATTTGCAACTGGTGTTCCAGGAAGGACATACCCAATTATAAGTTGTGCTATAATGTCATATCCAAGTTGCTGCAAGGTAACCAACCACCACTTATGTTAAAATTGTGAACTCCTCTATGCATCGAAATAGTATATTACAATCGAGATTCGATAGCAAAGAAAATACTATACTAGAAATGGAAGAAATAACTGGTTGGTAGTTGCTTGGATGACACCAATGGGGAGGGTTACAATAGAAGCTAAGGCAAAAGCCAAGAGCATACCCCACCATGGAAGTTGAACATCCACTTTCCATACCAAAGACATTATTCTGGAGAGTGCACTACTAAAAAAAACTCTGTTTTCTTGCGGATTTTGACAAAATTTTCGTAGAAAACGTATTACTTGCGATTCTTCCTGCTATTTTTCGCTCCTAGCTAAAACCTTTGTGAGTAATTAATTTAGCAGGTAAAGTCACAGGAAATAATTGCAGAAAAGAGTCACATGAAAATGTCGTAGATAAAATAGATAAATTCGCAGAAAAGCCGTAGGTAATTATAATTTTCGCAGGAAAAGTCGCAGCAAATTGTAAATTCGCAGGTAAACTCGCAAATACTTTCTCTAAGGTTTTTAATTTTTATTATTAATTGTGTTCAATTATATTTAAAATATTATAGTTATTGTTAAATATCAAAGTAACAATAATAATAATTTTCTTTAAAAGTATTTTCTCATATTTGTTACTTGAAAATAAAAATTAAATTTACTTAAATTTTTTGAAATATAATCAAAATTTACAATAAAAATAACAATCAATCACTCTCTGAACAACCTATTTATAGAATATTGTGTCATATGTATGACGATAACTACATGACACACATATGTACCCCATCATCAAACTGCATGTTGAATTAAACATTAATCGACTTCGATTACATCATGTTAATTCGACTCTGTCGAATTCTGAAGCTATACGAGTTTTAAGTTCGATCCAGTACTAGCTTATGAATCTAAAGCTACATCAACTTTATGATCTTTGAATTGTGTGTCAAACACTTGGCTTTTAAGTTGAAATATCTAGAAAAACCATTTTCCTTCCACGAGTCCAGGATTTCTTGAGACGCCTTTTCCCCAGTCTTTGTAGCTTTGTAAGCTTTTTGAATAGGAAATGTGATATTCTCAGTACCAAGCTCAAAAACTCCATTTTCTAATGGAGAGATTTCCTTCATGCAGACTAATGTACTCACTGGATCCTGCAACATTGAAATATATGATAAATTGTTCAAACAGTAAGATAGAACTGATTAGAATATCAAGGAAGTGCATCTTACAATTGACTGACTTTCCACGCTACCGACATCTTGTTTCGAGTTTTGTTGAAGTGATGTTTTCTTATCAAATGTTGTGCTATTGGAAATGAAAGCTTCAATTATTTCATTACCCTTAGCATCATGTCTGCATAAAAAGAATAGCATAATTTCTCACTGCTGAATCCCAAGCATAAAACCGAAGTACATAAAAAATGCAGGAAACTTTATCATTCTTTTTCATCAAGTCTGAAGTGAGGAGACAACAATAATGTTGAAAATCCAAACAAAATAAGAAGCCCTCGCTTTCTCATTGTTTTTATTATTTTATTGTCGAACAACGACCGGTTGTCACTCAACTCAACGTTGGGTTGATCATCTTTTGACTCGGCTTGGAATGGACTATCTTTTATTCCTTCAGTGTTATTAACATTACCTAAATATCAGATCAAGATGTACGATGCAAGTTAGAGTGAGAGTAAATGCAGAGTGCAGGGGAAGTATATCTTGATAAACCACACAGAAGCCGATATTGCAATGTATAAACAAAGATATTAAAAAAGAAATTAGGATTGGATTGGACTAGTTGTTGGCTAAGGTGCGGCAGTTTAACTGTCAAGACCCAAATTTCTAAAGAATCGGATCAAATTCTTTTGCTTTGAAGACCAAAAACATGATGGTCAATATAAATGTACTCTAGATTTCTCCGGTTGATTCATCAGTAATTTTGCAATTCCTCTAGATTACTCCATGAGCTATATCAATCATTTACTATTTTCTATTGGTCTAACTATTTTTGATTTTGAATGTATAATAAAACTTCAAAAGTAAATCAAGCTGAATGAACTTAATGTTGCATACACGATGACTTCCTGGGAAAATTACAGGACTGGCAAGAATTTATTGAAAGTCGTGTAAAACATACTGCCACTAACTAACTAATTAATCATTTTACACAACAAAAAAAAAACACAATCATGCAATGAAACACAGAAGAACAAACAAAGTGGCAAGACATAAAGGCTATGTACATATACAACATTTTCAGAAAGAAATATTTTAGTGACTCACCAGGACACTACTTATGTGAACATGATCAATTGAAAAGTGTGGTGGGTATGTGAGAAATCTTACACTAGTCTTTCCTTCGCTTCCTCCGCACAAATAACTGACATATGGTTTGGAAGAATGACATGTTGACACAGTAGAACACGTAAATTCTCTAGCTTCTTCTGTAGTTCAGAAGCAGCTTCCTCAGGCACAGGCGACAACTGTATGGTAGCTTCAGCTGAAACAACGGAAGACTCGGATACGGTAGCTGGTCCAGAAGCCTGGTTAATTGCATGTGTTAGCTTTGGTTTCCACTCCTTAATAGAACCAGATGTGGTAAAGAAAAACATTATAAATCAAGATGGAAACCAACTCGTAATCATAAATGTCCTAACCAGAAGATTTGTTCTCAGAAGTGTTGGCCACATTTAATTCCGCAGAAGGATGTTGGCCTCCCACTTCCCGCTTAATTGCACCAACAGCACCAGAAAAACATGAATCATTCGATGGAACCAGTACTGGGTCTAAAGAAGAGAAACAGACAGCTGATGATGATGCCAGTCTAGTCCCTAAGCCGTCACTGATGGAAGGCACTGACTCACTTCCAATAACAACTTTTGCAATAAGTTGAACCAAGCTATCCACTGAGACATTAGTTTCACTTATTTAGCAATATTTCTTGTTACTACATCTACTTCTTCACGGTCAGCTACAATCGAGTCATAAAGGCATAAAACTTACTAAGTCGCCATTTCTCTTCTTTGATAAAGAATTACAGCAGGAATAAAAGTGAATTTAGTCATTCTATGAAAACCTGAAAATGTCCCCTGATCCTAACACTGGCAAACAGGTTGAAATATAACATTTGAACAACCGTACTCCTCCATCTACCGGCGCACATCCCTCACAACACGGGTAGGCTCCAAGGAGAGTTGCGCATTGCGGGCATGTAAATTTATGTCAATCAATATTCTTTGAAAGATTTGATGATCTAGCCATGAAAACATCTTCAAAAAAACCCATTAAGGAAAGACTTTTGATTTCCCACAATTTCCACAGCTTCAATCTTCCTAGCATTTGAAGATAAATGATGTTCACCGTCTTCATTTCCTAGAGTGCTCATTTTATGAGTACAACAACTAGAAATACTGGTCGTGTGTTTAATGTCATTCAAATCTAGACAAATACGAGTAATATCACTACAATCAGGTTCATTCTTGGCAACTTCATTAAAATTCAAAGAAAGCTTTCCATTCCCAGGATGGGCAACCTTTGCATTCTCATCAAAAGCATAGTTCACTTCACAAGCATCACTGCAGGTTGAAGTTCTTTCCTCATTCAGCCCAAAATCCCAACGCCTTCACTAACAACATCAATTCCAAAATCATCGGCTACATAACCACGCCCGTGCAGCTGTCCACACTGCTCAGGAAAGTCACTTTCCACAAGATCATCCTTGCTAAAAGTGACAGATGTAGAGCTCAACAGGCGCATCCCTTGTGCACATGTGTGAGAATTGACATACCTCGTCACCAGCTTCTCACTTATACCTCCAAATGAACAACAACAAGCACCAAACCAATTGTCAGCCACCTCCATCCAATTCGCTGACGACATTTCAACAAAATTCCTAAATAATCATTGTAAACCACATAAAATTAATAAGAACTTCAATCTACTTTTTTAAATCTCAACTTCATACAATGATAACATATCCAAATAACTCCCATAATCTATAACAATAGAGGTAAACAAATAATAAACAAAATACCTGATAGGTTTATTGGTCAAATGGCATCTGCAACTTCTACAAACAAATTTGACTTCTCCAGCTGAAGACAATTTGTCTACATCTGAACCAAAAAATGATGATAATAATAATAATAAGCAAAAGCAAGCAACGAGAATCGAAAGTGGGATATTGAGGTTATTACTGTATTCGATTAGGAAAGGTTGAGGTAAATGCGAGGTTTGATGAAGTGCGGAGAGGGCAGGGTGATCGACGGAGAGTAAGAGGAGGAGTTTGACTTCGATATGGTCGGTGAATGAGATGACGGTGGGAGGAAGCTCGACGTCGAGTAAGACATTGGGAATCAAAACCCTAAGGGAGAGGAAGGAGGAGGAAATGAGAGTGAGGAAAGTGGGTGGAGAATGAAGGTGAACAGTGAGATTGTGGTGTTGAAGAGAGAGGTTTATGGTTTTGGAGAATGGGAAAAGGAATAAGCGGATGATTAGTGTGTGAGATTGTGATTCCCATGTGTAACGCCATTTTTTGTCTCCAATTTCAGCTTCAGCCCCCATTTTCCCACCACAACAGGCAAAACGGGGAATAAGCGTAAGTCATTATTATCGCGTAGTAATGAAAGACGATGAAGTGAAAGACGAATAAAAAAGAAATAAAGTGGATAAAAAAGTAATGTGTGGCTGCTAGGATTCGAGCCCAGGTCTCCACGGCCACAACGTGGAATTCTTACCACTAAACTACAGCCACATTGATGAAAACAATTTTCTACTATTATATCTTATTTAAGATATTTTAATTATTGTCACTAACTTTTTGTCACTCGTATCTGATATTTTAATTATTTTAAAATAGGTTTATTTTTATATTATATATATAAATCTAAAAAATCAATATGTCAATTATATTTTGTAAGTTCAGAATATGCCTAAGAGGGGGGTGAATTAGGCCTTTTAAAACTTTTTCAGATTTTTGGTGTTCTTTAATTTTTCTTTGGTTATGTTCTTGGTGATGGATGCAGTAGAAAGCATAAAGAAAGTGGACACCAAGATTTATAGTGGTTCCCTTCACAATCTGAAGGTACTCCACTCCCCTTTCCACATGAAAGAGATTTTTCACTATTGTTTTAGAAAGTACAACCTATCACACCATCAACCGGCGGGGCCTACAATCTAACAACAAAACAAACTAGTGTGCAAGAACAATCCTCTTGCAAAACACTAACCCTTGTGTCCAACAATCCTGGATCACAAGTCACAACAGACTATTCTGTCATTCTTTTTATAATTTGAAAGTACAATAGTAATATCAATACAGAGATTGATCTTCTCCTTTAATCAGAATTCACAACTTAATCTCAATACAAGTGTTCAAACAAAAGGATGTGAAAGGTTATGCAAGTATGAACACTTTTTGAATGTATATGAAATTATTTGAAAAGTAGTGAATATGATTCAATGATTGTTTTTGAAAATTGTTGGAGGTGTTTTTTGATTTGAAATTATCATAATTTATATGAGCCAAAACACCATTTCAAAAGGGTATATTAAAGTATAATTCAAAAGATGAAATGGTATAGCAATTACACAATATTTGAATTCAAAACAAAGCAATTTTTCAGAAAACGTTCAGTGTTAATCGGTTAACCTATATGGTTAATCGGTTAACACTGGAACGTTAGGCCAGAAAATTTAAGTTTTGAAATGGTTAACCGGTTAACCTATATGGTTAATCGGTTAACACTGTTATTTTTCAGAAAAAAAAACTTAATAAAACAATGTTATACCAATTCCAATTGTTAAAAAAAATATTTATGCATTATGATCAAATGATAAAATATTTGAACACTTGTATATCAATTAAATTAGAGAATTTTGATATACCATAGCTTGTGTCCAAGTCTTGAAAGATGATCGAGCAAATGTACATGAAGCTTGAATGTTGATCACTTCCATAATACTTTGATCTTGGTCTTTTGAAAGCTTTTGACTTTTTGCACAAATGAAATGAGCTTGAGTCTTGTTGTTGTCGTCATCAAAACCTTGAAACCTTGAGATGAAGCATGCTTCTACATATTTTACAATTTTATTTAATAATAGTATAATTAAATAAATAAATTTATATTTTTACAATTATATCATAAACTTATATTTTTACAATTATATCATAAATTTATATTTTTGATTTTTTAAATTTTTACAACAATAAAAAATCATTAAATAAATAAACTTATATTTTACAATTATATCATAAACTTATATCTTTGATTTTTCTAATTTTTACAACAATAAAAAAGTATTAAATAAATAAATTTTCTTTAAAAAATAACTAAAAAAACTCAATTAATATTATAAAACTTTCTTAAGAAAAACTAAGATTTAATATAAAATTAAAAAATGTCTCAACAACATATTTTTGTTTATAATTTTATTTATTAACAGTAATAACATAATAAAAATTAAAAATAAACTAAACAATTCGCAGCAAAAGTCGCAGAAAAATTTACAGCAAATTCCGCAGCAAATTTCGCAGCAAGTCATATGATATTTCCAGAGAATTTTGGGATTTCGCTGGATAACTAATTCCTGCAAAAGGTATAGCAGTTAAATCCGTATGAAATTTATATTTTGCTAAAGTCTTAGGAATTCCTGCGAAATTTGCTACTACTTTAGTTTATGTAGGAAATAATGTTTCACAATATAAAGGCGCAGGTGAAATCGCAGGTTTAGCTGTGGAACTCTTTTCGCAGGAAAATCCGCAGGTAATTTGTGTATTTTGAGTAGTGGTTCCCTGCTCCCGTATTATACAATGAGGAACCACCAGTCTGGTACGGCCTTATAAGCCTTCACGAGTCTACCATGCACGTCCAATTTTACATTACTCATCGCTGTTTTGCTTTGTCTCAATATGTTTCTGCGAGCGAACATGAAACTATGTCAGTATATGTAATGATAAGTTGATAAGAAATAAATCTATTATATAGGCTTTGAGAGCAGCCTACCCGCCCTTAAACAATGCTACATGAGTGAGGGTTGACGTAAACCTAGCGAAACCTGATTCAATAGATAATGCGTAGAGAGGATTAAGGTATAACTTGCTATGTTTGTCGTATGCATCAATGTCAAGATCATATTCTTTGGTTAAAATCTTAGCAGTGTAATATTTTTGTCCATTGTGAGTGAACAACTGATTAGAGAATATAGGAAACTTCCTAGCGTCGAAAGTGTTAAAATTCTAGTAACATATAGGTAGAATTATATAGACGAACATAATAAATCCAACTCCCATATTAACAATGGAAGTCCATGGTGCAACAAGAGGGCTGCCACGATAAGCTGAAATCCCAGCCCAATCAAACGTGAAGGCGCCGACTCCAAGTCCTTGGTACCCTGATCCAATTTGATGTGTTGTTACATTATTCAGCCACACATAGGAAACCCACGAGAAGAATGTTAAGACTGCGAAAAGATATCTAGGAAATGCATACTACACGAAGCTTAGGGGTGTGTTTGGTTCGGGGTAGATGGAGGGGAGGGGAGGGGAGGGGAGGGGAAATTTTTAATAAAATATGTTTGGTTCAAATTTTAGGAGGGGAGGGGAGGGGAGGGGAGGGGAGCAAAATCCCTCCAAAACACATTTTTTGGTTCCCTCCGAATTGGGGGGATTTGGAGGGGAGGGGAGGGAATATGAGTTTTGATATTTAAAAATTATTATATTTACTAAAATATCCTCAGTTTAATTTTATTATTTCAAAACTATTTGTTATCTTTTGTGTTACTGTTTTTTCTCGATTGTTTTTATCAACTTATTATAATTGTTCTCCACCTTCAAATTATTTTATAATTTTTATAATTAATATAAATCATAATCATTGTCTTTTTTTTTATAAAAAAAATTATGTTTCGTTATATTCGTTTTTTTTCTTTTAATTTTGTTATGTACTCTATCATATTTTCTTTTATATCAAATTGTAAACCATATCATTTTATTTATTTTTGTTTATTCATTTTATTAAATATTTTGAACCATTAATATTTAGTAATAAGTTATTTTATATATTTGTTTTGTTATATGATTCATCATAATTTAAACGATGTTATTGGCATATAGTTTAATTTATGTTGGAAAGTTATAAGTCGAATTGATTGTACTCAATTTTTTAACTTTATGTGACAAATAAATATTTTTTTAATAACTCAATATTAGAAATTTTATTACCAACAAAAATACGCACGAATTTTTCACATTTTATATCATATGACTTATATAAATCATAAGGATAAAAATGTAAATTATTAATAAAACCCCTCCCCTCCCCTTCTGAACCAAACACATTTTTAATTAAAATCCCTCCCCTCCCCTCCCCTCCACTCTTTTGAACCAAACACTTATTTGATTAAAAAATTCCTTCACCTCCCCTCCCCTCCCCTCCCCTTCATTAAAATCCCTCCCCTCCCCTCCCCCTCATTTGAACAAACAGACCCTAGAGCCATTGCAAACAGGAAAAATTGCATCCTTGTAAGTCCTTTTGATTTTCCATTTTTTTTCATGCAGAGCCCTGTAGCATAAGGTTAATGATGTAATCAAAACAAGTAGTAGAGAATAAAATAGTAGTAACAAACAAACAACTTAATTAACTTTCACTAACTAATTGATTTTCATATTATTACTCATCTCAACGTATCAGTGTCATCGTGTCATTGTCACATATTTAGTGTCAACGTGTCAGTGTTACGTATCAACGTGTGTTTGCGTCACATAATATTGAAGTAAGGGTAAAAGAGTGAACCTAAAGAGAGAGACTTGTGCAAGGTTTGCAGGCCACCATATTTCAATTGGGTTCACCAGATACCTCCTCAGAATCCCAGCCCATCCAAACCCTATTAACTACAAACTCAATTTACAACATAAGATATATATTCAACTTCATCTTCTACATTTTTTTTCCTAAAATGATAATCTTAATAATAACCTGTGCGCTAATCACGATGAAGAGAGCAAGAAGAAAACTGAGAGATTTTTTATAATAAGCTTTCACAATAGTAATGGCACCAATGGATTAAACATCACCACTATCACCGGAGGAGGAAACACCACATTTAGCGAAGATAGCGATGATAACATGCTCCTTCAGTTAAAGGGTCTAGGGTTTAAAGTAAAACACCATCCAACAAAACTGTACTCCTTCGTCGGAAGAGTTGCGGTCATGAACTTCCGATTGGAAGAACAACTATTTGCATGAGAATGGCTGAGATAGTGAGAGGCTGAGTTCTGAAAGTGAAAAATGTGTTGAGAGAGATGAGGATGACGCATGAGGCTATTCCAAGAAACCATGACTTGAAAGTCAATACTGGAAGTGATGGATCGTCGGTTTCAGGGACGACTAGAGCTACTTCTTCAATCGGAATCGGTCATCTGGTTGTGGTACCGCCGTTTGTAGCTTTTTCTGTGTCGAGAGTTGGAGTTGCACTACTAGAAATGTTCTGTTTTCTTGCAGATTTACCTGCGGATTTTGGAAAAATTTCCACAGGAAACATATTACCTGCGATTCTTCCTGCTA